TGGGAGCCTCTTGGGCCGTCGGGGAGCATCGGGAAGATCCAAAGCTGAATTTTTTAAAATGTACATTTCACAATGGGAATAGCCCAATTTTGGGGTCTAGGGACCCTTGTGGAACGCATCTCGGAGGCCCTCGGGGGAGCTCGTGGGGACCTCTTCTGCCGTCGAGGACGCCTCGTGGCCCGTCTTCGGGCAAACTTGGACGTCTTGGAGCGCTCGTGGGGCGTCCCAAATCCATTTCGAAGCCACCAGACGCGTCCCTACACGAATTTCACGTGTTTTCCACGTTTTTCGTCACCCCCAAAAGTGCACGTGTGAAAACATATACGTTTTACGAAGGAAACAAATTATTTTTTGCGTCTAGAGGGCCTCTTGGGGGGAATCTTGGATGCCTGTGGGGGCGTCTGGGGAGGCCTCGTGAGCCGTCGGGAGGTCGTCGTCGATGTTTCTGATCGCTCTTGGACCGTCTGGGACCATGTGGAGCTTCGGGAGGCAACTCGGAGCGCTCCTGGAACGCTCTTGGGGCCGTTTTCGGAGCCCTCTTGGGCCGTCTTGGACGCCTGTTGGCCCATCTTGGGCCCTCTAGGGGTCTGTGGGGGACCTCTGCGAGGCTTCTGGGGCCGTCTGGGGGCGGGTTTGGGAGCCTCTTGGGCCGTCGGGGAGCATCGGAAAGATCCAAAGCTGATTTTTTTTTAAAATGTACATTTCACGAAGGGAATGGCCCAATTTTGGCGTCTAGGGACCCTTGTGGAACGCATCTCGGAGGCCCTCGGGGGAGCTCGTGGGGACCTCTTCTGCCGTCGAGGACGCCTCGTGGCCCGTCTTCGGGCAAACTTGGACGTCTTGGAGCGCTCGTGGGGCGTCCCAAACCCATTTCGAGGCCACCAGACGCGTCCCTACACGAATTTCATATGTTTTTCCACGTTTTTCGGGAGCGGATGAGACCTCCGGGGGGTTCCGGCCCGTCCGGCCGGACCCCCCCCCCCCCTCCAAATGGACCGGACCGGGCTCCCGGGGGAGGGGTTTGGGGAGGGGGAACATCTCACACGCCGATGAACCCCAAGGGGTCGGCGGATTCACGGCATCCCCCACATTCCTTATACGTATTCTCATTTTGATTTTGGTTGTTGAAGTGTTTGTCATGTGACCAGCTACCCTGACAGGCCTGCGCGACCTTGAAGATGCGGGAGGTTGAATGGCTCCGGGCAGTCGTCCGGTGGGAGGGGGAAAGAGTTTGCTTCAGCCATCAAGTATGTCGCGTCCAGTTCACACCCTCTGTGGGTTTCGCTATACGTTCTACCCAAGTGGAGTGTACATCCCAACACGGGTTCTGGACGTTTCACGTATCCTTGTTTCCAGTCCGTCCAGAACAGATTCTCATGCAGAATCGAAACATAATGAGTGAAAGAGATAGGAGACATTACCCGCGCCGAGGCTTAGGCCAGCCTGAGCAGCCCTCAACGATTGCCACCTCGGGGACCCATGCAGGGCCCATTTCGATCCGATTGATGCGATGTGTTTCGATCCGAGCTCAAGTTCGACCAGTACGATCTGACTCGATTCCGATATTCCAACGATTCGATGCGGCCCGATGTGTTCATGGTGCTGGCGTGCATCGTAGCCGATCCGATTCCTTTTCCCGATCCGACGCAGATTCCTATTGATTTGATGTCCCGATTCGATGCCGACTGGAGCCATCTTGGTGTCCAATGCGGCACAGTTTGTGATTCTTGCTCGGCCTTTCTTTGGGCCCCTGTGGGTGCCTGTGGGATAATATTTGGGACAGTTCTGGGGACCATCGTCCAACAAAAAGAGACGGTTCTTCACTGCGGTCCCCACCTTGTAGTGCTCGAAAGATAGTTTTGTTGGCGTCTCCCTTGGGGTCGTCGGGCTCATTCTACGCCAATCTCGTGAGCCAGTCGTAGTCGTAGCCGCGGCGACGGGGCAGCATAGCAAAACCAACAACACAGTGTTAGTGTTTGTTGTCTGTCCTCTCGAGTTTTGTCTGGGAAGGTTCGGGCGCCAAGTGATAGGCCATCTTGGAGACAGTGCTGATTGTCCTACTGCGATCTGGCGCGCGGCCATATTGTAGCTATCTAAAGCCATATTCGTCTCGTTGACAATCCATGACATCCTTGATTCAGAGTCTCAGGGAATGGGTGGGTTTCATCCCCCAATTACCAATAATTCTTCTTGTTGGAAAGACCTGGGATTCTAAACCACCCATGCCAAGAGGTTTGGTGTGATTTCAGCCATGTTGGCTGGCCAGTCTGTAGCTCATACAATTACTACGGGGCTTGTATCTAAAAGATACGACGATGGTATTGCGATGCATTTTTCAAGTGGGTCATCAATTCCGGATGCTGTTCAAGTCAATGACGAGGTCGGATCTCATGTGATGAGCATTTGTTACGCCAGAGGGAAATTCCTAGCGAATGTTGAAAGCACATTCGAAAGTTCTGCATTGCTCCCTGTATTGCGCTCCTGTGGCTAACAGCACACAAGATCTGACGCGAGGGAGCAACTTGCATGGGCTCCAACACGTCGAGGATTCATTGCTCGCGCATGCACGTTTCAGACTCTCGCTCCTGTCTTTCTCCCGCGTCCCCTCCTACCTGCTCTTGTTCCCCTCCTACTGTCCACTACTTCCGCGGGGAGGAGGCTGCAGTTTCTCCCAAGAGGTCCTGGCTCCTGCGCGGCACGGGGGGGACCACGAGGCCCGAGGGGGAGGCAGGAGGAGGGAGGGGGGGCACGACGAGGAGGGGGGAGGAAGGAGGAGGATTGGAGCCTCCTTGCCCATTTCCCCCCCCCCAGTTGCCCATCCTTCCCCCTCCCCCCCCTCCGCTCCGAGAGCAAGTGCGCTCCGTAAACAAGTCCGCTCAGGACCAGCCCATGGGCCCCTCCTGGGCACCATGCTGGCCTGGTTTTTGTCTGGGCTGCGCCGAGCCATGGCGACGAGCACAGTCCAAACTCAAATAAGAAAACGCGGCATAAGCATGAACTTTCAGAACTCCCCGCGGATGTCTTGGATCGGCGCTGGGCCCCCTGGCGGCGCCTCCAGCGCACGCCCTGGGCGCGCTCCGCGCGCCAGAGGGGGTTCCAGCGCCGATCCAAGCAATCCGCGCGGACCATCCCAGGCGTGCGCCGGAGGCGCCGCCAGAGTGGCCCAGTACCGATCCAATGAATTCGCGACGAGCTTCGAAAGTTTAAGTTTGGGGCGTTTTTTCGCTCTCTGCACACATTTTGGGAACCTTGCGCGAATACATCGCGCGTTGGGCATCGCGGCCCCGGCGCCTAGAGGCGCCCTTTCCCAGGACGGAGTGGCGAGGGCGCCGTCGAAAAACCTCTTACAAAAACCGTTACTCGAAACTCCAGATCACTCGCAGGACCCTGTGAAAACCCGTTTAACACCGTTTTGAAACGTTCGAAATATTAGGAACAGGTCCGAAGCATTCCAGACAGCGCGATGGAACCTTCCCGACACATTCGGAACGCCCGGGAACCGTCCAGGACCTCGTGTGGCGTCGGCGTCGGGGCTCAGCAACGGTCCGAAAACTGTAGACACGTTCCCGAAATCAGTGGAGACTGCGCGATGGAACCGAAGTCTTCGGCGACTCCCGGGAGCCGTCCAGGTCCTCGCGGCAGCGGCGACGACGAGCCGGCAGCCGCCCGAGCCCGAGCCCGAGCCCTCCCCGCCCCCCGGCCCCCGCCTCCCTGCCGTGCGCGGGGCAGGGCGCGGCTCGACTTCGCGGACTTCTCGCCGCAGAACATGCCCCCCCCGGGGCCCAGACGCGCCTCCGGGGCTTGGCATCGCTCGGACGTGTGGATTTTTTTTTCTCTCGGCGAGAGCCATCGAGGACCATCCTGGGCCATCGAGCAACAAAAAGCACGCACGAGACCGAACAATGCACTGGATAAGTGGACGTCCGAGCGATGGCAAGGGGAGGAATGGCTCGGGCGGGCCCCCACACGGGGCGGTGGCCACACCGCGCGCGGTGCGCCAGGGAGGAGGATGCAGTCAAGCCGCTGGAGCGGGGAGTGCCTTGGGGGCTCGGGGGTGGGCTCGGACTTTCGGGCCGCTTCCCAGGGGGCTTCTGTCTCGGGGCGTGTCTGGTGGCCTATAGGCCCGCCGTGGCCAGAAAAGCCGCTTCCTGCCTTCTCTAGTGCGTTCCGGATGGTGGCACGATTCCTGGTAGGGGTCGCCGCGCGGTTTTGGGACTCGGGGCGTTCTCAGAGGGCGTCTCGAGTGACTGGGGCCTCCAGGGCTCCAAAGCCGTGCGGTGACGACGGACCGAGCGGTGAGGTATTGGGGGACGTCGAGGTCGCCGCACGGTCCGTCACCGCTCCGTGTTAGGAGCCCCAAGAGGTGGAGAAAAAGCGACTACACATAAGAGTGACCCTTCGCACGAGTGACCTTCAGTGCGGCCACGCCGGGGCCCCCAACTGGCTGAATCCGACGCGATAGCAGCGACTTGTGCGCTCGGGTTCGGCCTCCGCGCGGCCCCCGAAAGTCCCGCATCAAAGATCACTCTTGACTACGCAGGCCACTCTTACCCATCGGTCGTTGAAAGTATGCCTTTTTGGAGTCCCAATTCCAATATATTTCAAGCGCCTTCCTACTTCAATGATCGAGTGGCTTCACCTTTTCCACCCTCTTTCGGTGGCGGGCGGACACCCATCCAGTTCCAACGCCTTCCTACTTCATGCTCCTACCTACTCCTGCCGACCGATGGGTACGTGTAGCCCGAACATGGGAAGGCGATCGCGCCGCGTCGCCAATGCATCGGCGATACATCCCCAGGACGAAAGTTTTTCCTCTTGGGCCCGGAACGACGGTGTGAAGTCTTGAGCAGGCCCGTACGAGATAACCGCCGTCGGATCCCATGAATTTCGCGCGGATCCAAATGTGGCTTTGGTGTTTGTGTCGGTGGATCCGATTTCCGTTCGTACGGATCCGATTTCGGATTAGCTGGATCCGTGTTTGGTCTTATGTTTCACGGCGG